ATCATTTTCATGAGAATTATTGTTAAAAACTTCATCTAGAAAATTAGTGGTTTCTACATCTTCAGCATTATTTTCTTCATATTCTACTGCTTTTTCTTTTCCTTTCTTCCCCCTTTGATATTCGTACCAGACCCCCGCGATGATTTTGTTGTTGTTATTCTCTTCCTTTTCTTCTAGACTCTTTTCTTCAATTTCCTCATCTATTTCCTCATATATTCTCTCTTCTCTTTCCTCTTTCCTTTCCTTTCCTCCCTGTTTCTTCCTTGCTATTCTTTTGTCCTCTTTTATTTCTCTCCTATTTCGTTTCTCCCTTTCTTTTTCAACGACGGTGACGACGGTGACAGCAATTTCAGCAACGGCAATTTTGGTGATTTCAACGATTTCAACATTGGCGATTTCAGAGTTTTCCCTTTCCTTTTTTTTTCTTTCCCTTTCTAATATTTCTTCCTGTTCTTTCACTCCTCTCCTTTCTCACTTTTCCCTTTCCCTTTCCCCGACGGTAATTTCAGCGATTTCGGAATTGGCATTTTTCACCTCGTCCCTCTCTTCCACCTCGTCCCTCTCACCCCTCTCGTTCCTCTCGTCCCTCTCGTCCCTCTCATCTCTCTCGTCCCTCTCGTCTCTCTTATCCCTTAGCCTTCCTCCTTTAACACTTTTTTTTCCCATCACTTCTCTTTTTCTATATATTTCATAATTTTTTCCTCCTACCTCTTCTTCCTCTTTTTTTTTTGTAGTGGCATTTTTTTTTAACTGTTTCGATGGCAGGAACCTTTCCTAAAGGTTTTATATATATGTATAGTTCATTATCACTCATGGTTTGATAAAAGAAAAAATTTTTTTAAAATTATATATATTAATTTGATTATCATTGATAATTAAATTAATATAAACGATTATGAAAATCACGATTTAATCGGCGATTTTTAACGATTATGAAAATCGCGATTAATCGTTTATCAAAATTCGACTCGAATATATAATTGACTCGCGATTAATCGCGAGTCCGTAATCGCGATTCCTATCCCTAATGATGATACCATTATTACTTATTGGAGCCATAATACCAATACTGACAGATCTTTTGAACCCCTCTTTCTTAAACACTTTACTACCTTAGAAAATAAAAATAAATGGCATTATGAATTATATAATATTAGACAAGGAAAAGATGAGAGAGTAGATGAATACTCCACAAGGTTCAAACGTCTATTGGTTAAGGTAGATCCTAAAAAAGTGCTTCCAGAAGAATATACTACTCGAATATATATTTCTGGTTTGAAAGAAGAAATTGCTATATTGGTTGTATTAGAAAATACTAATATCTTAGCTGACGCCATGAAGAATGTAGCTAAAGTCAAAGCAGGAAGATACTATATCAAGAAAAGAGAAAATAGAAATTTACCCTCTAGCCGAAATGTAGAAACTGAACTTGATATAATTACTAAACAATTATAACAAATGTCTCTTAATTATACTACCCTTACTTCTGCACTTGCTGCTTAAGAAACCCCTAGAATACCAAATCGACTTCCCAGAAACAACTACAATCCCAACAATTATAATAATAACAATAATAATAATAACTACAACTGTTTCCGAAGTGATAACAGAAACAATGATGCACCTCGTTGTTTCAATTGCAATGAACCTGGTCACATATCCAGAAAC